GGGCGTGCGCCCGGGGAGGGGGGGGGGGGGGGGGGGGGGTCCAATAGTAAACAAAGTGGTTATCTTTTTTATCCTATAATCTAATGGGAAATGGATAAGATCTTAAAACTCTTTTGACTTGCACCATCTCACAGCTATTCCTGTAAGTCCCACCTCAATCTCCCCCCCCTAGCCTGTTGTTTAGAGTGTTTTCCCTTGTCTCTCCATATGCCTGTGAGCTGGGGACAAGCGGGATGGCTCTTTGTCTAACAGAGGCAGATGGAGATTTGAAACAAGGCAACCGAATGGACCTTTCCCTCCATCCTGCAGGCCAGGGCTTTGAACTCTGGACATTTCACAGCTGAGAACATGGGAAGTAGCTAGCAAACAGCACCACAGCCCTATCTCCCATTTGACAGCTGTGACCAGTCCCCCAATAACATGGACCCCAGGGTGACACCAGCACCCCGTCCCTGATCTCAGGCAAGGATCACTCCTTATCTTCCCAACCATCTGACCTCTTTCTGAATGCATGAGCATTGGTACTGCCCTGAGCTAGTCAATAACTGTCCAAAGGCCCTACAGCCATTCTCATTGTCTGCCAGAATTCAATAGGTGCTCGATGGTAATATGTTGACATTGCCTATTGGCTGTGAGAGATGCCACTCAGCCATGGAATGTTTGTGATTGGCCAATTTTTCCTATTTTAGGGAGTCCCAGAAGCCACAGGTAGCTTTCCAAGCAGTTTGCCACTACATCTAGGCAGGCTTGGAAGGTGCTGATCCAAACTGACAGGAACGCAGTAAGCTGTGGTGATGCTGTATCCCTTGCTAATACCACCCAGCTCCTTCTGCAGCAGCCTTCATCCAATGGCCTTCCTGTGCTTTGCAGACATGAACCTTTACAACCCTTGTGAGGTGCGGGCAATTGTTGTCTCTTGTCTGCAGGGGGGAAACTGAGTCATTGGGAGGTTGCCAAAAATCACTTGGCATCTCAGTAGCAGAGCCGGGATCCTAGGAGGCTCTCCTTCCCTCTGAAAGGCATGGAAACCAGAGAACTTCTTTACTGTGCTCCTTTCTCATTTGGATGGTCAGCCGGAGAAACTCTGTTTTCAAGTGTTTCCTCCCCCACCCCTTGACAACACTATACCACCTGCCCTTCATTTTAGAAGGACAGTCAGTAATGGTGGGTCTGTTCTTCAAGCAGACCTGAAATAGCTTCAGGCTGGTGCAGCATCACAGTACAATGGCATTCATGCCTTATTGCGACATTACATATTCACCCCCCAGCACAAAGCCTAAACGTGCAAAGCACAGCTGGCATCCCCTTCAACCCAGGGGACATGACTGGTCCCACCATGCAATGCACGGCCTCCATCTGAGCACTGAAGAAGCATTGCATGCTGGGGCCCATCATGACCACTCCTTTTCATTACCATAAAAGCAATACAAATCTGTTCTGTTGATGCAAATTAAATGCAACTCTAAGGATTCTGGCAAGCTGCCAGGCAGCCTGCCTTCATCTGGGCAGTCAATGCCCAAGTTCTCCTTACCCAACATCGTCATGGATTCCTCATGGCATCTTTCCATGTTTACTGATAAATAAATTAAATATAGTTACTTATGCATTTAACCACACCAGTGCAGCCTCGTGTGCAAGGATGTCAAAGCACTTCACAGGAATGAACCAATTCAGCTGCATAACCCACACCCTAAGGTTGGTATGTTCATCCCCATTTTGCAGGTGAGGCACAGAGAGAGGTTAAGAGAACTGGTCTTAGTTTACACAGCAAGTCACTGGTAGGGCCAGGATCAGAACCCACATCTGACCCAGTTTTGTCCTTTAACAGGCAAATCCTACAACAGCATTGTAAACCCAGGCTAAAATCTCAGGCTGAATTCTGTCCTCAAACCCACCTAGACTGGCATGATTTTCCGCAAATGCTTTTAACAGAAACGTTTTCCGTTAAAAGTATTTGTGGAAAAGAGCATCTAGATTGGTACGGACGCATTTCTGCAAAACCACTTTTTGCGGAAAAGCGTCCACACCAATCTAGATGCGATTTTGCGCAAGAAAGCCCCGATCGCCATTTTCGCCATCGGGGCTTTTTTGCCCAAAACAATACCGTGTTGCTTACACTGGCCCTCTATCGCAAGAGCATTTGCGCAAGAGGGCGTTTTCCCGAACGGGAACAGCATAGTATTTCCACAAGAACACTGACAATCTTACATGAGATCGTCAGTGTTCTTGCGGAAATTCAAGTGGCCAGTGTAGACAGCTGGCAAGTTTTTCCACAAAAGCAGCTGCTGTTGTGGAAAAACTTGCCAGTCTAGACGCAGCCACCCAGTATTCCCATTATAATCAATAGCATAGATGTGCTTGTATATCTGTGCACTTTGAACTGGGTGAGGTTCCTATGGAGAAAGCCTTGAATTCTTCGTTTATGGCAGAGCAGCAGTACAAAATAGGGCATAGATAAACCAGGAATGGTTGTGCAAGCAGAAGGAGGGAACAGAAATAAATCATTCCATGTGAAGCAAGAGTTAGTTCCCATCTGGAGAGCTGTGCGACGTGCCAGTAGTCATGCTGCACAAGGGATCACTACCTATGAGCAGCTGAGCGTAGTGCCAGGTGGCATCAGATATCTAAGAAATGGAACGGACGAGGGGCTCTCTTATTTCAAGCTGGACAAGAGGTGACTAACGTTTCCCATAAGAAAGTACAAAATGATGATAAAGTTTGTCCATGAAAGTCAGGGCTTAAAAAGCAGGCATCGCTTAGCATGGTTCTAAAGCAGCTAAGAGAGTTATTTGTGAGTGGTCTCTAAGATCATTTCCCATAGTCTCCTCCAGGTATGCTAATTAGTGCTTGTTTGTATCACAGTAGCCCTGGAAGCCCTATTATGCAAGGCACCCTACAGACTTGTAGTGAAACACAGATCTTGCCGCGAACTGGTTAGACAAGGCAGACAGCATGGGAGAAAGTATTAGTTCCATTTTATAGAGAAAGGAAGTGGCTTATCCAAGAGGAAACTGTGGAGTCTGCAGCAGGGCAGGAAATTGATCCAAGACCTGGTGAGTCCCAGTCCTAGGCCCGGACTACAAGACCATCCGTCTTTCTCAAAAGTCACACTATTTGGCACTTTTCTTAAAGCCCCAGCTCTCTGAGTCCTGTGATCATGGGAGCCCACTTCCATACCCCGAGCCCCTCGGCCCCAGCCCTGAGCCTCTTCCCACACTCCAAACCTCCCATCCCCAGCCCCACCCCAGCCCCCACATCCCCTGCCCAGCCCTGAGCTCCCTCCAGCACCCCACCCTCTTGCCTTGAGCTCCCTCCCACACCAGAACTCCCTGCCCCAGCGCAGTGAAGGAGAGTG